TGGTCCTGCTGGCGCGTGGGACCGAGCCGCGTGACAAACAACGAGGCCGGATCACACGGACGTCACAGCACGCGGAACAACAAACAACACAGGTGCGGGTTTCAGGCGGACGGATAGGAAAATGCTCTGAACTCGTTGCATCCCAGCAACACCGGGTTTTTTCTTCCTCCGCCGTCTCCCGGCGTCTTCTTAATTATCCCGTTGGATGAAAAGCAGCCGGACTTCGGCAGCCTTCACAGCCAAGGCCCGCATTCATCTTTTGACGACGGGGTGGCGAGCGCGCCACCTCGACGGCTCTGCAAATGACATGCAAACATCGTAGCAGGAGAGGAAACAAATGAGCAGCACGCGGACGGGAGAGACTGGGGGGTGAGGGGAGCCTCAGACAGCACAGCGTCATGATTCACAGCGTCCATGTCAGAGAGCCTGATAGACGGATGTAGTTGTCTTCTAAAGGTGGAAAGTCACAGAGATGAAGATGTCGCCTCTGGCAGGAAGGAAGGGGAAGGAGGGCATTCAGTTGAAGAGAGACATGAGTCAAGTACAGCCAGACACCATTTATATATATATATATATGTATATATATATATATATATATATATATATATATATATATATATATATATATAAATAAATCGTGTATATATATATATATATATATATATATATATATATATATATATATATATATATATAAATCGTGTGTATATATATATATGCACCCACAATATATGCACCCACTCTGCAGTCTTTTTGTTGCTGGAACACGTAAGCTTTAGCACAGAGGAGAATCACCATCTTTAGATTGAGTCACCATCCAGGAGGAGCTTTTCTTTTTCTTTTTTTATCTTGTACCACCCGCCCCTCCAAAGACAAAAGACAGCAGGAAGTGTTGTACATCGGAACTAAATGAGTAAAGGATTAAAGAACGCGCCGTTCTTAAGTTCTCCAAGAGACGGTTTGGATAGTTCTGAGGAGCCGGCCTCCGTCGGGCGTGCGTCCTCCAGGAAACAGACTCGGATCGGAGAACCAGCTCCAAGGTTCTGCTGAGGCGTTCAGCCGGTCAGAGTATGAACATGGTGTCTTTTCGTCCTTCTCCCTGTCATGTTACTGATAAATAAAGGCCACTAGTGCCACAAAAACATAAAAAAGCAACAAAAAAAATAATCACAGTTACGGCATAAACTAGTTGTACATCAGCAAGATGATTTTCTTTGGCAACTGCAAGGTTAGAACAATGATGCATGATCAGAGGTGGAATACATCGCACACATCTTGGGAACATCATGTCCCGTTTAAAGCTTTTTACTGGTGGATGTCGCCACCACAAATTGTCACATTGTTTATAGAATAACCGTCTTGGGAGATTTTGGAAGAACTTTCTCGTGTCTTCAGCTGTCCTGAAATGCACCGCAACACGTTTTTCTCACAACAAAATGACGAGCTGTCATGTTTTACCATTACTTCATGGGAAGAAACACTCCCCATGCCCAATAGGGGATGGGGAGTGTTTCTTCAGAACATTACTGCGTACCCTCGCAATAATGTACTGATCAGTTCATGGGTCATAATTGATAATGGATAATGTTTTAACCTTGTGTATCAGGGGAAAAAAATAGTAAGACAATGGCGGATAAGGGTTGGGGGGGATGAACTTTTCACCTTATCTAGAGACAAATCAGTGAAAGGTTAATGGGTTAATACTTTGAACAAGAGACTGAGACCACAAATAGAAGGCATGCCAAGTAAATCACTTTTACTGCAAATCTCTGTCTCGTTGTGCTCAATTATGCAGCATTATATTAACAGCGGGGAGTCCAACTAACAAAGAAGAGAGTGCCAAAAACTTATCCTCTCTGTGCAGACACAACACTTCCCGAGGAGTGAAATTAAGAATGCTGTAGTTGAATCCATGTGAAACAAGAATCCCTAATGAGCCTTGAAGCGTTAAAATACCAACTTCTAAACATGAAAAGGCATCTAAAACAAGAAGGTAAAGAGGAATTTACCATCCACGCTTTTTCTTTTTTGTCTTTCTATGTTCTCAAGCCGGCCACTTATCCCACACACATACACAAACACTCAGCCTGCAGCGATATGAGAATAGACGGTGGACTCCATAATCCAATAAGTTGTGCTTCTTGTGCTAAACCCAGTGAAAGTCTGGCACACCGAGGGAGACCGTGGAGAGTTTGCTCCTCTAAGCCTGGCTGGTGAGGAGTGGGATGGAAACTGTACTCTGCGATCAAAGAAAAATAGTCTCCGCCGTAATGACGGCTCTTATTTTCCCATAAACATCAGAGAATTATTATTTAACGATGCCATTCCGAGCTCATTTATTTATTTATTTCCCCCCTGACCCCCATTTTGTTTTCTCATCTTCTTCAGAAAACACAAATTAAGAGAGAGGCGCGGCGGACTCGCCCACCAACCGCGCGGTGGAGAATAACTGGTGATGAGGATGAGATTGGACGGAAGACGTTCTGCCTCGCTGTCCGTCGTATCATCAGTCAATAAGAGGCAGGCATTCGTTTGAAAGGGAAATTATTTCTGTAGAGTTGAAGCTGCTCCGAATGCATTCGCCTACACTCTTAACTTGAAACCGACAGAAGAATTTGTGCAGTGATGGCAATTTTCCTCCACACATTTATATGTGGAAATTAATTTTCAGTCTATTGATGCTATTTGTTTTCCGTCAGAGCTGCAAATTGGCGAGTGTGACTTTGTTCCCTCCTCGGTCTTAATAAAAGCTTTTTTTTAAAAAAACCTTGCGTCTCGTCGTCGCACGGTTTGGAAGTGACGCTCGCTCTCGTCGTTTGCACACTGCTGCTGCCTGATCTCGTTATTTAAAATGTAGGCAAGCTCAATTCTAACTGCACACTGACTGTGACCATACGGCCATTGTTCTACTTATTTTTTTAAGTGCTTTAAATTGAATTTACAATTTTCCTCTGCACATGTAAATACTCTCACATGACTGGTTGGCTGAAGCATTTTTGGTTTCCATTGATTTGCTCAGGTAGCAGTTTGACACGAATACTCCAAAAGGTCAAGAAGTCCTCACACTCTGACGCTGAGGGGTTACCCAGAGGCGCATGTGAAATCAGATAACAGCTACACCTTCAAAAAAATAAAAGTAGATAAAACAGGAAAACCAATAGCTGAAAGTACTGGTCATCTTCATGAAGAGGTTGGTCAGAAAATATGTTGAAAACGTGACGTATTCAGCCCCACAGGTTCTGGTAGAAATTTCGAGCAAACAAAGAAGGTGAAGGTCAGACTTGATTAGCTCATTCAATCAACTCACACCACATTTTAATAGACATCCACCTGCATCTTTATGCTAATTTCTCTTCATATTTACATCGCTTGATTGGAGAGTGTCACCTTTTCTACGTATATCCCACAAGCAGTTGTTCAGGGGTTTATTTAGTAAATCCAACATACGGATAGTGTAGAGCCAAAGAACTTTCCCAATTGCTTTCTGCCATTCTAGGACGATGCAAAGGATCAAGAGGGAGAGCAAATTGACAAAACGACAATGACAGATGAATGGAAGCTAAACTGAAACCTTTGATTTGAATTTGTTGAAGGTTGTGCTGCTGTAAGAGCCATACTGCTTTTGGTTTTATTAAAATAGGGATTCCTCTGTGGTCATTTGAGGAAGAAATCAAATCAGGGAACCAACTACGGCAAAAATAACCTGAAGTAACTAAACTGATCACATCATCAGCAAAACTCTAAATATGGCTTTGGCACATTCGAGTTGTGTGTTGTTGTCATTTGGTTGTGAATAATTCCTCTAGTTTATGTCTTTAGTCTTCCTGAGCAGCGCCGTAACTTTGACCACCGCCCAGACGTCTCTGCGGAGGCATCCGGCCCCCCCGCAGGGGAAGCTCAGCCGTGATCCATATATCGTATCACCACAGGTGGGGGTCAGAGAAGAGCAGTAAATCAAGAGCTGCCCCCTTTTGGACTCCTGTCTATCTTCACGCGACAGACCGGATCCAAACTGGAGGAAAGAGTCCACATCAATTCTCACGCTTTTATTTCTAATGCTCACTAAAAAGTAGCTGCACCTCTATAGTGCCATTAACCTTCTCATCCGGTGTAGGACTATTGAGGTGTCAAAGAAAGCAAATGCTTCTTAAGTGCTTTTATACATCTGTGGTACTTTAACACTGTAGAGGTGAGAGATGAGGACTAGACAATGCAACTCAAGTTCCTGAATTGGGATCTAGTGCTGCGATTCAGTTACAAAGTCTGAATTGCAACATGGCGACGCCCATAAACATTGTTTGCAATAGCTCTTACAAACATGTTAAGTTTTACTCTCCATAGGCAAACACCACTTTTAGTTTGTCCAGTTTAGAGTTGGAGACGTTACATGTAACGTTGGTTTTCGGATGCACTTATTTAAGTGTCTTGTAAGGTGAACATAGTTCCACCACAGCTTTACCACTACGTCACAAAAACGCAAAATCTCAAGTAATTCGGTCCAACTTGCAGTGCAAATATCTTGGTACACTTGAAATAAGGCAAAACTATCTTACAACTAACACTTAATTTTAAGTCAATAATGCCTTAATATTAATGAAGATGAACTAGTTTGATTATTTCACACTTATGATGTTATCCCATGTTACAAGTGAAACAACCTGCCAATGGAACAAGAACGTTTTCATCAATATTAAGGAATTACTGACAAAGAAAGAAGGCTCCTAAATCTTTCTGAAAAGTTAGTTTTGCCTCATTTCCAGTGTACTGAGATATTTGCACTAGAAACTTGATAAAAATACTCAGTAGGATTTTATGTTTTTTCAGTGTGTTGGTGCGAAGTCCAGCTTCAATCTCGTAAATTGAGGGTAGTTGGAGTTGCTCCCGGCGTTCCAGGTGATTTGTCCAGCTTGGAAGTCTGAATTTCCCAGTTCTAAGTGCATCTTGAACGCAGCGTAAACCCGTCACGCTGCAGCTCAAACGATCCGACCACCAGATTTCCCCCTCCCCCCTCCATCGATGACACGACGGTCATAACTCACACTCACCAAGACACATGGGGTCCCTACCTCTAGCTTTGTTTTTCTGTTGTTTTTGCCTCCTTCTTTTCTAAACTGGTGTTGCTGCTGGAATAAAAACGTACGCCCACAAGGTTATTCAGATGAATGAGCGATGTGGGCGGGTGGGCCAGCGCTAAGCCGAGCTGCCCGTTCTCACTGGAGAGGGAAAAAAGGAAGAGTTTTGACACCAGACCAGCTCAACTGAAAACACACAGATGGCAAACATCACCCGGTTCAATAGGGATCACATGGGCTGAACCGTCCAGTCTGAGCAGTTTTTCTGTGAACCGTTTCCTAAAAAAAAGAAAACAACAGGAAACGTTTAAGAGAAAAGTGTTTAACCTGAAACATGCATGTGTTTCCATTTATTTTAACCTTCGAAAGGGTTTACTTTACCCATCAGAAAGTGTGACATTGGTGGAAAATGTCCTTAAAGACCAAGGTTTTTGTTGGATTTCGCATCATAACTATAAAAAAAATAATAAATGTCACATTTATAAAGTAAATATACATTTACTCCGTTAATATGAATCTTGTTTATTTTCTCTCTCCTTTCTGCTCCTGATTTCTCGTCGAAGTCCAGGGAAGCAGATTAAAAACATCCCCGTCATGGATTTTGGTCCTGAGACAAAATAATCAGACCAAGCTGTCATGTCTCAAGGTTTCATAAATTCAACTTTGTTGAAGCAGAATTCAATTTTCCGACTGCTGATGTGTGACAAGCCCCTGATAACGAAGCAGTCAGGCAGGTCAGTCTTCATCAAGATGGTTTAATGAGAATTTAATGATTGGCTGCATAAATCAGCAGAGAGGATCTGATAAGGCTTTGGATGTTACAGAGAAGCCTCTCAATAACAGAAAATGGATAAATTACATTGGATGGAAAACATTAATCCAAGTGAAACTTCTAATTAACTTCTGTTTTATCAAATTAAATGGTTATTGTAACTGTGGCTGCACATTCTTCAGTGAGCGATTTTTGAATGTTAGATTTTATTTGTTCTCCTCTTGCCTCTGATTAGTTCCTCTGGTTTGCTCAGTCATTTCCCCCTCTGCTTCAGTATTTTAAGTATTTCTTTGGTTCTCGTGTTCCGTGTCCTAATGACGCCACATTGTTCCTGTCGCTCGTTGAGTTTCATTAAAATTCTCAGTTTCAATCACAGGTTATTGCTCTGCATTTTGATATTTTTTTTTTTTTTGTCAACAGCAAGCATGATGTTTCCGGTATTATTGCCCCCAAATCTTTCAGGCGCGCTTGTATGCCATCTGACTTTTTGTAGTGAGTTTGACATTAGATGGCTTAATATTATTCTTCGTCATGTACAGACATAAGAAAATTTACATTATAATTTTGCAGTGTTTCACACTTTTGAGAGGAAAATTGAGCCTCGTACCAACTACGTGCATATTTGTGATGTTTGGTTAGGATTTGTAGGAAGTTTTGTACACTCCCCAGATAGTGTTGAAAAAGCAATTACGTGACTCCGGTTCCATTCCTGTGCAGGTTTGATACTTTTCGGTCCACCACAGGATATTTGGTTCTGCCGTGTGTAAATTTGCACAAGTTGTTGGGCTGTTTCATTCCCACTATGACAAGTTATGAACCAGTGTCATTCTCTATAAATTGCTAAAACAATACAAAAAAAAATTGTATAAGTGACTCCAGTTTCATACTTTTGTAGTTTAGGTACACAAAGGAACCATGATCCATGAGATGCTTTTGTGTAATGAACTTTTGGGAACCAAATAATTTAAAAAGCGTCAAGGAACCCACGACTTGTTCTGTTCAGGTTACAATACGTGGCAACAACCCTTTTGTTAAAGTGTGATGTGGGGAAACCAATTACCCAGGACCCTGTGATGGTCACGTATGAGGTTGCTGTCTGCTTTTTTAACGGCCAGACGTTCAGAGCATCAGATGATTGGATCATGCTGTGAGACGGCAACAAAGAACCATTTCAGTTTTTGCTGAAGGTCTTTGATAGCTGCTTCTGTTGATTATCTCCAAAGCGTCTCTGAGCTCAGACACTGGAGGATTATTATTTTCATGGTTTTAGTGACACGCAGTGTTTTCTCACATCGCTTCTGTTAGAAAATGTTTGACTGCAAGTATGACATGTCTACCAGCAGGGGTCGTTTGGGTAATTATCTGTCCCTCTTATTCCAAACAGGTGGCACAATTTGTTAGAAAATAACTTTCGGTTAAATTCTAAGTCCTTGTTATTTATAATAAATCCATGGATATGAAATAAAAGTTGAAATTGGCAGACAATTTTTAAATTTTTTTTCCAGTGGAACACGCTGTGAGAAACCTCTCAAATAAAGCTGGCAGCAAAACATGAGAATGTTTATCTTTTCTGAGATGTCATACGTTTACTTTTGCTATCTTCCTGAAATATTTTGCTCTCTTTGAAAATATTGTCGGAAGATTTGTGGTGTCCTGTAAACCAGGAGTCGCTGCTTTCTACTAAATATCGCTCTACCGATCTGTGCTTTGTTTTTATTTAACCGAAGGCCTGGAGTGTTACAGGAAAACCCAGAGGGAGCAAGAAAAGAAGAAGAAACAAATACTTACTGTAGTTAGTTTTTTTTTTTTTTGATTGGAGCACAAGCTTTACAATTCAAATAGATGTTCTACATGTCATGTGGATGTGTTTCAAAACGCCCGGCAGCTACTGCGCTCTGTAATCCTTTAAAGGTTGGGGCCGCCGACATGTCAAACAGTCGCATTAACGGAGAGCAAGTAATAAAACCCCACCGTCCCTGAGTGGCAGCGGCTTACTAGCCGTTCTGACACGTACACTTGCCTTTTTACATGCATTACAATAAATGAATGCGTAAAGCCTTTTTAAAAATGGCAAAATCTCTTTTGTGGCTCAACACCTATCTATGACAGCACATGGCCATACAGATGATCGTAACATTATCATTTTCACTGCACCCACAACAGAGTTTATAATAGTTCTAATAAAAGACATATGTGTTTACGTGCCATATGAAAATGCGCCAATCATACAATTGTGTGCGTATTTCCAATGTCTTTACAGCAACGTAACGTTATTTCAAAACTGAACATGACAGTCGACGTCAAATAAACAGTGACTCACTGTTTCTGGCCGCTAATGGACTTCATTGTTTTTGAGTCACACAGCGTTCGCTCGGTGTGATTAGTGTGTTGTGGAAGTAAAAGAAAACACCGCGCTGAATCCGTAGAGCTTTATCATGTCCCGCAGCAAAACCCGGGCTCCTTTTAGAAGCGAGGGAAAACATGGCGACCGAACAAAGGCTGTCCGTCTAAACGTCAGCCGTTCGCCGCGTAGCCGTTGGTGGCAGGAAGCAGCCTGGCTGGCGCTTGTGTTCAGTCAGTCCCTCAAAAAAAGACAGATGTTTCATAAGAAACCAGAACGACACGCATTAAATGCTACTAAAATGTTTAACTGCAAAAAAACAACAACCCCAAAGGCGTTAGCTTAGCAACACAAAGCAGTACCGAGCGTCGCTGCTTTTATTTTTATTTTTTTGTACTTTGACCGACTTAAAACAAAAAACAGAAAGCAGTTTGAAGAGAAAAAAAAATTATTGTTTTAGTGCCTTGCAAACATTTTTCATACACTGAACAGTTTAAAATGCTGCCGGATTGCAACCACAAACTTTTAATGAATTTGCTTGTATGACATTATGATTTTAGAAACAGTTTTAATGAGATGCTGTATTTAAGAAACGGATGGTTCAGGGAACTGGTGTGTGTGGTGCAGGTCGGCCATTTGCACTGTCACGTGCGATCATCGATGTACTCCAGTATTTAGAGAACTGAGACGTTACTGTAGAATGAGAGGGTTGATAAAATAAGGCATATCACAATTCCATGTGCTTTAAATCAGTGTGTGGTAATGCAGCTCTCTATATTTCATTTGTGCAGCCTGAGGCCACTGTCGTATTTCTTTACTTGTCTTTTATCTATTGTGATTTCTTTTCTTTTTTTGTGCATTTCCTATGTCACTTTGGAGATTGCCACGTTCCATCAGTAGTTACACAAGTAAGCAGCAAGACAGCTTTGTTTAATCTGTCTCAACTAAAAAGAATAAAATATACTGCATGTTAAGAACCCCAGTTATCGTATCCTGTGAGGCAAAGTATTTCCCGGGCTACATAAATGTAAATATCTACTCATTTTACTGTGAACGACGTCGAGTTTCGCGTTGCGCTCCAGAAAACTGCAAACATCGAGACCAATATGAGCAGCGCAATAAGCGGAAAAGCAGCCATGAATGAATGTGTCCGTAAAGCTGCACAACTAAACGCCATTATAATCTATAAGATTAAGGTAAGTTTCACAAATCTATGCAGCCATCTGAGTCGTGGAGCTGCTGTGCGCTGCGCTCTGACAGCAAACCCAGGGTCGTCTGCGTGCTGGTCGTCGCTGACTTCTTTCATTTCCCCCATGCAGATAAAAGAAGACGACGACTTTTTTATTATTTCATAATAAAAAAATTTAATTTTGGGTGCGGTCTGATTTGTAGTTCTTTGGTGACAGCTCTGATTTTTGGCTGCCATCTCCCTCTGTGCTAAATCGGAAGTCGAAGTGACATATTACAATTTTAAAAAATCTAAATCATTTTGTAAAATACATTTTTATCCGAAGAGGGGTCACAAGTGGTGCTGGTGCTTAACAGTCATCTTTTTAGACTGGGAGGAAGCCGGAGTACCCGGAGAGAACCCACCATGCACAGGGAGATGATAAAAACTCCATACAGAAAGACACCGAGCCGAGAATTGAACCCGGGACCTTCTTGCTGCAAGGCAACAGTGCTACCAACTGTGCATCCATTTTTAAGTAACATTTAAAGTTAAAGTTGAATATGATTGAAAATAATTGCTGTGGCAATTATTTAGTTCAAAGTAAAAAACCCAAACATGACAGAGTAATTAAGGAATCTTGTTACCAGAATCGGACGTGGAGGCTTCTTGGGGTCGGGACCGATGAAGGCACGGAGAGATCGACGGGGGATCGTCGATCTCCCGTCGATCCCCCGTCGACGGGGGGAGAGACTCGGGGAAGAGATCGACGGGGGAACTGGGTGTCGTCTCTACACCAGGACCGATGGAGGAACAGAGAGGCGACTCGATACCAGGACCGACCGAGGAGCAGAGAGGCGGAGACACAGGGGGGCGTCATGGAGCCGAGGTTGACAGACGCATAACATCTTTAAAAGGTATGTCACTTTGTGACATACCTTTTAAAGATGTTATGTGCACCAGAAAAAAGTCTCGTGAAAAACCCGGCTCTTTTTTTCTGGTGCTTCTCCAATTGGCTCAAAAGGCAGTGGACGATTATATTGTCAACGACCTCGTGCTCCATGAAGCCCAGAGCCCATCCGGCAGAACATCCACAGGTTTTCCTGAGGTCCCTAAAAACCTTTTTTGTTAGGCTAGGGACCCAGTCCACCTGGATTTCCACCGGATGGCCTTCGATGGCAGCGCAGATGTTGTTAACCATGCGCTCCTGTACCTCCATCAGACACAGCAACTACTTAACAAAGGGTCGCACTGTGTCCTTGCTCTGCTCCTCTAAGGACGCCCTCAGTCCTTTGGCGCTTCTCGCTGTCATCAGTTCGTGGATGATACTGACGACAGCTCGCCCCAAGGAACTGAGACCTAAGCCCGGCCGAAGAAGTGACACGGGGTCTTCGTCATCCACAGTAGATGTGACTGCAGTGATCAAATGCTTCAAGAAAAGCATGTCGATCACTGCAGCACACTCTCCGTGGATGACCGTGTCTTCTCCCATTGCCCAGGCAAAGGCCTGAGAGACCTGGCTTCCAAATATGACTTTTAGATCACCATATCCATAGACCAGGTTCTCAGAAACGTCCTTTACCAAATCGGAGAAAACCTCCATCAAATATCTGACCAGGTATCTTGTCCTCTCTGTCACTTCCTCGTCCTGGTACAAAAAGTCAAGGTCCAACCAGGTCTCCTCTTGAGTTTGAAAAATGTACTCTTCTATCGCAGGGATAGCGTGAACATTGATTAAAAATCTCATCTCTCGTCTCAAATCCATTGTTGTTTGTTGAACTGATCTTGATCCTCACTCTTCTATAACTGTCTTTGAAGTAACTCCAGTTGCGAACTGGAGTTATTTATACACCAAAGCAGTATGTGACATCACAACCTATGACGTCTCAGCACAAGAATACATGCAGCGCTGTGACGTAATGGGCCGACAAATCAAGCGTTCTGACGATCTGTGCGACCTCAGCACTTTGTCTCAACGGACCGCTTCTTTCAGTAACGAGTAATCTAATGCGTTACTATTTCAAATGCACTAATCAGGTTAAAGTTACTTATCCAAATCACTGTTCGTCACTATTTTCTTTTGTAATGTTATTTCCTCTATGCGTCTTGGGGAGCGACCGCCGTTTCTATGCAACAGTTGTCAGCAGCAACAGAAACGTAAACAATGGAGGGAGGAGAGAGATGCGCATTTTGTTGCTGGACAGTCAGGAACTCTTTTGAGTTTCTGTCAAGTCCGATTGTTATAAGTGATTTTAGGCTTATTTATTTATTTATTTAAGTCGCGGTTTGTGCATTTTCTCGGCTTGTTTCTAAACATGAAGTTGCTCATTTGGGCCTGGAAATAAGCAGAGACACATAATGAGACCCGGATGTTGTCTGACGTCCAGGAAGTTTTAGCTCACCATTTCTCGGATGAACAGGGAAATGGTGTCATCTGTCTCTCCTTGTTAATGTCAAGCAGTGGCGTATCTTGCCCACCCCTAAAACTGTACGTCAGCACTCCTGAATAGGATTGCCACCCATCCTGTAAAATACAGCGTCGTCCCATATTTGGCCGTTAAATGTGTGTCCCGTATTGAACCGACACATACCTGTCCGATAGACACGCCTATAATAAACATCAACACTAAGTTTGACAATAATGGCCAAAATAAAACACTGGCAATATGATGGTCAGCTACACTGTCGTGGCGGGAGCTGAAGGACCCCTGAACGCCACGGTTGCCTAGAGACGAGACACTGCGCAGCCGCAGTGAGCTGCTATCAACCTGCGTCTTTTTAAAATGTCCTCTGCCTGATTCCATATCCGTAGAAAAAAAAAACGCTGTAAAATACAGACGTCAGTGAAAAGCCGCGCATTATCAGCTGAACAATTCAGTGAGGATGGATGCTGTGTAAATATAAAGACAAAACAAAGTGTCCGTCATGGCGCAGTTTGCTGCTGTGTAACAGACAGAATGAATCAGGAGAAGAACCGCAGACCCGTCAGAACCTAAAGAACCAGAAACCAGGATGATATGTCCTGTAGCATATCATCCTCTGATATGCATTTTGATTCAGTTTCGTATTGTGATTTTAGTTTGATTATTATTATTATTGTTTAGGTTGTTGAGTTTGGATATTTAATAAATAATAGCATTAGCCAAAATAAGTGCCCAGTTAAAGAACAAATCATACTAACAGATTAACACTAAATACATAAATATTTTCTACATTACATTAATTTCTGTGTGTTTTATGTTGACATATTTTATGAATAGTTGTTCAGTGGTCATTTGATGCATTACTTCATTAACATTTTATTAATGTTTTTTAGCAGTTTGGATAACCTCACTTCCAATCAATGAAGAAAAAAAACATACTAAGCAAAAATGCACCAGACCCAGACCTGCAGGCCAGGGGCGGTTCTAGACGGGGGCCAAGAGGGTTTCTGAAGAAATTACACTAATTAAATGTATTTTTAAACTGTTTTGTGGTTGATATTTTTTTAAAACCTTCACAATTTTATTTTAACAATGAATTAAAAATTATAGTGCTGCACTTTTAGCTGCTGTATTGAGGTAGGATCACACTTTACATCTGCTAGATCGGAGATCTGCAGCCTGAATCTCTGGAGACACAAGTGGCTCTTTTGTTCATATTGTTATCGGGGTCCGCGGTACGGATTGTGAAGGTGCAGGATAAAAAACACTCCAGGAGGAGATAATGTTGATCTTCCTTTAATGAAGATAGCGAACAGGAGTACAACTGAGTGGTTTATGTGCTCTAACGCCGATGCAGACGAACTTTACACGTCCACACCAGAGTCAGCGAGCATCAACACAAAACAAAGTTCCCTCGACAAAACCCTCCCCCTGGAACACACAACCGCTGCATGCAGACTTCCGCTAACGAAATAAATGCACAGTAACGCACTTCCTCAGATCAGCCTCGCAAGTACGGGAAATAATACTGGCATAAGGGGAAACACACAATCACTACAATATATTAAATGATGAAATATTGCTCTGTTTGTGTTTAATTCTTTTTTTTAGTGTCTCAATAAAAAACCCTGAGTACACGGGCCCCTGTGGTAAATTTTGAAAACAGTAAATATTAAAGTTAGCAACACCTGCTAACAATCTCTTTTTTTTTTTTTTTTTTGTGTCTCCACAGATAACCAAAACTGACACCAGCAGCCAGTTACTTAAGACCTATGGAGTTAAAGTTAACAATATAATATGTACTTCGGAAGAATTTAAACTCATTGAAACACTTTTGCTAAAACACCTCTACCTTCTAAAGCTCTAGAGTCTAGACAAAAGGCTTAAGTATATGAAAAACGCTATCTAGGTGACTGTGAATGTCTTTAATTTCTTTTGACCTTGCAATCATAATTCCGCTTCACATGGTAAAAATTGTGACAAATATCTCTTCAAATCCATGTTAGTCAGAACCGTCTCTTCTCCTTCTTCTTTATTTTCTTTTTTAATAATTATATTTACTGCTTTTCAATGTTTTTGACAAATAAACAAATACAATACAAGAACAAAAAGAACAATCCAGCTCTTATAGTTACATACAAAAAAAAGCGTAAAAGCAGTTTGAAGAGAAAAAAAATATTATTTTAGTGCCTTGCAAACATTTTTTATACACTGAACACTTTAAAATGCTGCCGCATTGCAACCACAAACTTTTAATGAATTTGTTTGTATGACAGGACACATGATTTTCAAATATGAAAGCTAAGCCATTAATTTATTTTTTAACTTCAGTGGCTCTGACTGTAATTGTTTTCTGTGGTAAATACCTGCAACTATTTAACAACACTTGATAGAACTGAGGAATTTCAGGGAAGAAACTTGTGTTAAGTTAATTATGATTCCATTTTTACTAAATATTAGATAAATGCTCACTGAATCGCTCGTTCTCTGTGTAATTTAATTCACTCAAGGTCGTATTATTAAGGTATTATTTAATCATGTCATGGAATGTTTCCTTTTGTGCATTTTCTCAAGAGTAGACTAAAAATTTAAAGTGATTTAGAATCACTGTTTCAATCCCTTTACTGTGACACATGAATATGCTCAAATAAAAACCAAATAAAAGCCTCTAGGCCTCTTCTGAAAAGCACATCTTCTCCTGTGCTTTTTTCTGCGCTCCCTGAATACGTGCAAAACATTTTTAAACAAACATCCTTGCCTTTCTTCAATATAGATCAATGGATATAATAATTGTACACTGAGACACATTTAACAGGACGCCGGCCTCTCCCGTTTCGGCCGGCCAATTACCCATCGTTTGATTCAGGTGTGTTAAAACATGTGGGATACCGGCCCTTTAAGACTGACTCTGCACCCCACCGATTTAAAGGGAAAATGTGGAAACTCCGCACAGATGAGGAATAAGCTGCTGTGCGTAAAAAAGCTTTCAACTGTGTTGGTATAGGAGCAAAACTCAGCCTCTCAGCAGGTGGTACAATTTGCTTTTAGTTGAAGGGCTGGCAAAACTTGGGCACAACATGAGATGTGGAATATTAATTTCGAACCGACACTCTAGGAGGAAGATAGCTCAGTGGTTCATTTTTGGGAAAGTTTCGTTTTTGTTCAATTGAAGGAACATCTAGTTCTTCTAGCGACGCCGCCCTCTGCTACTGTTGCTGCAAGTCGGTCGCAAACGTAATCAAACAAAAGGAAGGACTTCCTTCAGAAAGGAAACCTTTTACTATACATTTGATAGCAGTAAAGTGTAGACGCCTGTCATAAAGGGACAGACTCCTTTATCTTCCAGTTCAGTGTGCACCAGTGGCACTTACAGCAAACATGGCAGTGAATGCAGCATTTCAACGCGCTTACAAGCAATGCAATTAATTAGAAAAATCAAGCAGCTCATCTTTAAACCATTTCATAAAACTACAA